AAAATCATTTTTTTCCTTTGTTTTAATTTTATACACATTAAGCTAAAATTTTTCTAATTGTTTTTTCTATATTTGAAAACGATAGTCCCTATGAATAAAATATTGGACCAACAACGTGCCAATCATAACGGTAAGCAGAATTTTTGTTCATAATTAAATTAGGAATTGCTTTGATCAAAGAGAATTTTCTGGTTTTTTATTTTTTATTTTTGCCGAAACCGAAAAAGAAATTTTAAGGAAAAGTTTGCACCAACGATCACACGCCGTTCATCTAGAATGCTTGAAACCAACGCGTGTTGGAGTTGTCAGAAGGAGAAGTTAAACGGTTGGGATTCTCTGATTGGGATCAGAATGGGACACGTGTATGTCACCGATGCGTTTGGCTTTTACCTTGTAAAGTACAAACAAAGTCTCTGTTCTTGGAGATTGATTTCACTTGTTTCCCTAGACTTTTTATATATTGTGAAATCACCCCTTGTATTTTTTGGCATTGCATTAAGGACACATAACGGCAAAAGAACAACCGATGTAAACTACTCAAACAAAAATAGTAGTCTAGTTAGTAAAAATCACTTCTGGACTAAAGTGAAACTGAGCATCAACTATAGGATCTGAGCAGAAAATATCAGAAAACTCCAAACTCTAAGAAGGCATAGAAGGAAGCAAAAAATTTGTCAGTCAAAAACTCCCCCAAGGCTCCCAACCCTGAACCCTCTATATATATCTCCCTTCCTCTCTTGTCTCTCTTTAACGTACTGCCGCTCCTTCTCCTCTGCTCTCAGCCTATTTGATTTCTGTTCAGGTTATCTCCTTTAAAATTACAATGGCCAAATCTTTTGCTTGCTTCGTTCTCTTAGCTCTCATAGCCAGCTGCGCTCTCGGCCAAGCTCCCAGCTCTGCACCAACCAAGTCACCACCCTCTTCCTCCCCAACTCCAGCTCCCAAAACCTCTCCAACCAAGGCTCCCACCGCTTCCCCAACCGCTTCTCCACCGTCAACTTCCACTCCTCCATCTTCGGTCCCTGAATCTTCTCCAACTTCCTCTCCTACCAGCTCTCCTCCAGCCCCTCCCACGGCTCCTGCGGGTGCTCCAACTACAGCTTCCTCTCCCACAAACTCCATCAGTCAGCCACCCGCTTCGACTCCAACTTCTCCAACAAGTGCCGCCGCTTTGAATAGAGTCACCGTCGCCGGATCTGTTGTTACAGTCGCTTTGGCAGCTGCTGCTTTGTTGATGTAGATCTGACTTTGGAGAGGACTTGGATTGATGATTTTATTTTAGGCCATTGTTAAATTCTTATTTTTCGTAGGAATCTCAGTAGTTTATTTCTTTTTTTTGTTGATTTTTATTTATATTTTGACGGTGGTGATGATTTTATATCTCGATAGCCTGTTGTTATTTTGACGGTTGAGATTCGATTGCTTACTCTCGGTTGTTATTATATTATTGTCATTATTTTATATTTATGTATCTCTGTTTACTTCAGTTCAATGCGATGTTCACTCCTCAGTTGTTCTAATTCATGCTTAACTATCTAAATCCGGAAGTTTAAGAGTCTTTAATGAAGAATCAAGAAATTTAAAGGCGTGTGTGAGTGATAATAAGTGGGAGCGAGCAAGAGTCCAGTGTCGTGATCGTCGAACGTCAAACATGCGAGTGAGAAAGAAAGTGGGCGTCAGAGACGTGGAGAGTGGAGCGGTGTCTTGTCTTTATGTGATGATAGTTTATGTGTTAAGATGTCGAGGGACAGCTGGAAAGACCGAGAATAGTGTTGTATTTTTTCCCTCGCGTTTTTTTTTATTTATTGGGAGGGGGGTTTCGATGTTAGCTTCGGGGGTGGCTGAGGAAAAACAAGTGTCACGTGGTCACAGCTGGTATTAGTGGACAACATGTTGCAGACTCCATGTGCAGAGTCATCTTTAACAACATGTACACATGCTGTACCACATATGAGCATGTTCCATGTTTGTAATGATGGATTTTTGACTTATTATTCATTCTTATGTAACCCCAAGGACACCAAAATAATGATATAATTCATAATATCATGCAAATTATGGAGATGCATAAGGACATTTGAATCAAATTTATGTTTACAAATGACACATTGAGAGAAAGAAAAGACAAATAGTAGAGGTGATGATAATCAGTCAACAATTCACCATCTACATTAATCTAAAGATGCCTGTATGGATGGTTGAAAATACACAAGCCAACTTTTTCACTTTTGAGAAAGACAATGTAAGACTGGAAGATATATGTATACTAGTGTAAATTGCGAGACCCCACACAATGTAAGGCAAAAGTGGGTAAAGGCAAAGACGAAGGCAAAGGCAAAAAAGTTTTGAGGATGGAAAAATAAAGTTCTAGGAAATTGGAGAATGTTCTGGAAACCGAGCCGACTCTCTCACAATTGAATGTCGATCATCATGTGGACAACTCAAAAATCCAAGACAAGGAACTCGTGCTGCCAGATTGGCCCAAGAGTGAGTTAAGAGTATTATAACTTTTGGGGACGAAAAGCATTTAGAATTTGAAAAGGGTTCAAGTTTAATCTAATGAGTTGTCATTAATTGGAAGATTTTGTGTTTATGTAACTGATGAGTATAATTAAAGCCATAAGTTATGTATCAATCTGTTCATGTACAAATATACAAGTCTAGAACTTTGCCTCTCAGTAATAGGATTTTGCATTTACAGCATAATTACAAGCTTGGCCTGCCTAGACAATTTTCCTTATCATTGCTGCTAGACATGCAGGCAGACAGGCTGAATGAATCTGAAAAGAAAATTGTGAAAGGAGAAATTGCTCTGCTCTATAGGGTCATGGGCATATTGTGAGATCACTGCCTCTGAATACAACACTGTCTTGCAATTCTAGTATTAGCACAATCATAGAAGAGTCACCAATTTAATTTGAATGGGGGCCTCCTGTTCTGACGCCTACTCAATAGTCTCTTAAGCTTAGGTTTTTTCTTTTTTTGGTAGATATAACAGCAAAAATAACAAACTATTAAGTTAGTTTTTTGAAAAAAATATAATGTATCCGTAATAAAGTGATATAAAAATAGACTCAATTTAAATTTAATCTACATCAAGCACTTTTAAAAAAAGACATGTAAGGTAATTGAGGATGATGAGAATCTCAAAAGATCGAGTGAGGGAAAATATTAGATTAAGTGTTTCAAAAGTAGATAAAATGTTTCAATTTCACATTAGATATGTAATAAATTTTAAAAAGATTATAAATATGAATATTGTGTATTTTGATTAATTTTTTAAAAGGACCGGATAACGATGTCATGAAGTTTTTAACCATAATCTTTTGGTCATTTCATCTTCAATCTTGATTATAAAGATTAAGGAAAGAAAGTCTATCTGTTTTTGAATACCAGAATTATGGGACTTGAGCTCAAGGGGATTGTTAACGGGGTTACTGGGATTTTCAGTTTGTCCCCACAGTGCTGTACATCAAAGACAATACAAACAAAGAATGCAAAGAAGATGGGCACGGTTGCTATATATAGGTCTATCCCTGATTAGGGTAGGCACCCTTGCCAAAGCTTTGTAAAATAAGCAACACAAACAAGGCATGTTATCAGAAAGGGCCACACATCGAAATCAGAGAGCCCCTGGCCCTAAGAGGAGAATTCAGGTAGGTTAGCTATATATGGAGGTCAAAGGTGTGTGCTTGAATTACTAGCAGACGGGGAGGAAGCAGCAAGGGTGGCGGGAGTCGACGGTATCCCAGATGGCAGTGGGGTTGATTTCGCCGCAACGTTGACAGCAAGCTTCATGCCTTGCCCACAGTGGCCTACCACACCACACATGAAGTAATGAGGGCCAGCAGTAAGGAGACGAATTCTGGTAGAGCCACTGTTGTCTGTGGAGATTGCGTTGCCCGCAGTGCATGTGTTGTAGTCATTTTCAAACACTTCATCCACAGTATGGGCACTAGGATAATTGAACACTAGGAAACAAATTTCGATCAGCATGCAATTAGTTCAATATGGATCCTGAATATTTTAATCCAAATGCATTAATATGTAACATCTAGATAAGTAGGCTTCGGGTAAAATGAAGCAAGCACATAGAAGGAGACATTGGGATGTAGACAAGGAGGAGTCTAGAATGGCTAGGAGACAGAAAGTCCAATTAGAATTTCTCCCTTGAATTGAGGGAAGTAAAATGGAATTGAAAAAATATATGTTGATTTGGTTAAAAATTGAAAAGATATTTATTTTCAACTGTTTTTAAAATTTTAAGTTTTACCATTTAATTAATAATAAGATGACAATTTCTTATTAGCCAGCAATATATATATATATAAAATAGAGAATATATATACTAATAATATATTAAATATAAAACACATTTATTTCATAATAAGTTTGAAGCTGGACGGTTTAATAAGTACATCAATACGTTAATCTATGTTATACATCGATTTTGAGGTTTAGAATTTTTAAGGATTTTTTTTATCAAAGAAAAGAAAAAAATTGAAAAATGGAAACAAAATAAAATAAGAAAATTTTATAATTTAAAATAATTGTACAAATATCATCAAATATAAAAAAATTTCAATTTATAGTCTTAAAAATAACAAAATAACATATGGCAATGCATAAAAAGTATAACTATTTAAAATAATAAATTATAATGATAATCTTCGATGAAATTTAATTCTGTCATAAAGTCTAAATAATCAGTAAATAATATAGAATTGGGTTATAGGTTTTTTTTTTTAAGAAGAAAGAGAGAGTGATGGCGAGAAAAGACAGTGATATCTTTTGTTAATTGTTTTATAAGTGGGTGAAGGGAGGAAAACAAAATAAAAAATTTAGTGACATATATAATAATGTTATGGGAATTGAACACTCACAAAGGCTATCACCGACTGTAAAGTTCTTGCCTTTAGCCCATGCATTATAATCAACACCAGGAATCCAGCCAGTGGACTCACCAACGGTGAAAACTACCTGCCGGCTCGGCACGACCATGCACGACATGGCTAGCACAAGACAAGCCATTGCCACCCCTGACCCTGAGCTTGCCATTTTGTAACAAAACCAGGACAGAATAAAAACACAGAAGGTAAAAAGTAAAAATCAGCTTTCTGTGATAAAAATTTCTGAAAGGGAGCTGTTTATATAAGATTAGTGAGTGGTGGTGAAACTGTGGAAAAGCTAAACTCGGCTCCACTTATTGCCTTACAAAGCCTATTGTTTTGTGAGGAATGGCTTTGGGGGAGAGAATTCAAAGGATGATGGCCTATCCTCTCTCTCTCTCGTTTTTTTTTTTGGGTTTTTTTTTTGGGAAAGCCAGTTCGAAAGACCTTAATTATGCATGAAAGGTCAAAGAAAAAAAAAACGCCTACATTTAATGTGTGTCAGTATATAGAGAAACTACATAAATACTTTTAAATGTGCGTAGGCAGTCCTTTTATTACTTTTAAGTAGGCAGATTAGGGTCAACAAGGAAACGGAAAATGGGCCTTATTAGAATTTGACGGGTCAAACTAAGCCCAAATTTTCTTATAACTTTTGGAACTCGAGCGTTGCAAGGGTCATTTCAAAACCAAACCCTCCGATGTGTCCATCCTGCAATGCAAAGCGTTACAGTACGTCATATAATTGGCAAAATTACAGAAGAATTACCAATTGATTTGAATTGACTTCCTGTTCTGTTAATCATCCAAATAATATTTTAGCCTTGCTGGGTGTATTAAACAGCTAAAAATATTAGTATAAAAGTCCAAAAATGTTGGAACAAATTATTCAAACTAATCATGATTGTCAATAGAGTAGTTGCTTTTCTTTAGTTGTTGTATCAGTATTTTGATCAGATTTCAAGTTCATGGTGGATTATAGGGATTATGGAAAGGGAGAGGGCTATCCCCCTGTCTTGATTCGGACTCCTTGATCATCCTACCAATATAGGAAACTACTCCTCTCAAAGACATCATCCTGTATGCATCATAGACCAACCTTTTGGTGTTACCTTCTACATTTGTCCTGTTCTTCCTCTGTTTTCTTTTGGCAAATTTTTAAGTTACCATTAATCACAAATTCATTATGCTCTGATTTGCTGGTGTCGTCAAAGGGCCTTGAACGGGACTATTGAAAAGTTCAATCAATATGTCCACATAGAACATGGTACAACAATGAATAATAACTTACATATACCTAATTATGCCATGAAAAGTAACCTGCTCAATCATAAAGATAAGCAATGATCCTCAGTACAAGCAAGATAAAATGAAGAAACAGAGGAGGAGATCGGCACTGCCTCTATCCTGACCAAGGCGGACACTCTTGGCAAAAGCTTATGAAATGACCATCACAAATATTGCAACCCAAGTTGTCACAAAAGCAACAAATGGGGAGAGACTCCATGAAGAGGAGGAATCCGGTACTTTAGTTGTTGTAGTTGTTGTTGTTGTAGATGGTGTGGTGGTTGATGGTTTATCACTGGAAGGCGGTGAGGAAGAAGAAGATGGTGACTTGGGAGCTGCTGTGGATGAGCCTGACTCCACGGTGACTGCAAGCTTCATGCCATTGCCGCAATGGCCGATCACACCACAAATGAAGTAATGAGTTCCGGCAGTCTTGAGAGTAATGGTGGTGGCTCCGGTGTTGTCTGTTGTGATTGCATTGCCCACGGTGCATGTACTGTAGTCACTTTTACTTACTTCATCCACAGTATGACTAGTTGGGTAATTGAACACTAGGAAACAAAATTTCAAAATGTTAGTTGATGGAATGAATCAAATATTTTTTGACTAGAAGCACATGGATATGAAAGATGTAGATAATTAATACAGTGTATGTTCATGCGTCTAAAGATGTTGATCAAAAGTGAAGTATAATTCGAAGCTGTGAACTAGTTCAATCCGTAGCTTCATTTGATGATTATGTTAGGGATCGGGATTTTTCTTCTCTGTTTTGGTTGCGACTGGAACTTTAAGGAAGGGGAAATTTAAGAACTCACCAAGGCTATCGCCAACTTTGAAGGTCTTGCCTTGAGTCCATGTGCCATAATCAACACCAGTTGACCAGCCAGAGGTGTCGCCAACAGTGAAATCCGTGGCCAAGCTGGGCACAACCATGCACAAGACTAGCACAAGACAGGCCACTCCGACACTTGAGCTTGCCATTTTGTGGAAAAACTAGACAGAGTAACGGTGTCTAAGCAGAGAGATAAAAGAACAGGAGGAGCTTTTTCTGATAAACAATTTCTGAGATGGGAGTTGCTTTTTATAATTCCATGAAAGGGGATGGAAGGAGTAAAGTTCGGACCACTTATTAATTCCATACAAAACCAACATTTGTGAAAGGAATTCATTCCAAAAGTGTGACTTGGGGGGCAGATCCTATACCTAATGAAAAGGGAAGTGGGTCCCTAGTCCCTACTCCCTACTCCCATCTCTCACTTTTATTGCCTCCACTTAAATAATGTTTGTTATGTAGGGTTATCGCAGTGGTGGTTATGATGTTTTGCTACAAAGCCAGTTCAAAAGAAATCAATTATGGATTCCATATAAACGGTGCCTTTATCTCTTCTAATGATGGATTGTGGATGAAGAAAAGCAGGAAAGTTCTTGTTTTCTTCTCATTCTTGTAAACAGGTTCGTTGTTGTCATCATGTAGTGTTGCCACCATTTGCGTTGTGCGAGAGGTTCCTGTCAAGCAGATGAAGAAGGTCATAATCACCATAATGGAAAAGGAGAGCTGTGTTATGCAAACAGGGTGGAACAGGTAACATGCTTGAAGCCTACTCAATAAATAAATAAATTAAATTGTGATCGATATTAAGGGGACTAACCCTCGCATCCAACAAACCCCCCAAAGGGCAGTTTCCCATTGCATGCGAAAGGATGATATCATACCTTGGACTTTCAACTAACAAGAAGCTGGAATTGTCATGGGCATTTAGCTTGTGGAAAAACACAGGAAAGAATTTTAAATGCATTAATCTGTTGGCTTGCGAAAGTTATAAGAATGAGGAATTGATTGCATTATGTAACAATGTTGGGGGTGAAAAATTGTTGCAACTCTGCTTTTTTACCAGTTGAATTGACACATGAATTGAGCAAGAAAATGAAATAAGCAAGGAAGGGGAAGGAAGTGTAAAGAAGGGACAATAGCCTTTGAGCTCTTACTTAAGGAATGCATAGAGAGTCCCTTTCATTGTTAATTATTTGTTTTAAAATATAATATTTATCAAACATTTTCTTTCAGTATTCAACTTATGATTTTATTTTAATTAAAATATAATGATTTTTTATTTTATTTATTTATAAATTAAATAGATTTTCTTTGAATGGATAGAATTCCAAAAATCACATTGTAATCTAAATTAAATTTTGAAATAAAAAATTGAACAAGTGTTAATCGAAATTGAATATTGAGTACTTAATTTTCATATTTACGACATTGGTAAAAGGTTCCTTTGCTTACGAGTGTTTCCTTTGATTTTGTCCAAAAGAAAAAGGTTTGAGGAGAACGATGCATTGTCCAGATTATATGATCCAAACCTCCCACCTAACCTGAGACTAAAAGTCTTCATGAGTGTGATTTAACTGAGGTGATGACAGAAAAGGACGGTCCGGTTCCCTTATTTACCCAAAGTTAAGGTGCAGCCACCACCACATGCCAGGATCACCCAAAAGCCGAATAGTTCGTGTCTTAAGTGTAACTAAAACTAAGGAGGTAGGTTTGGTTGGTTGATGGAGCGTGTTGCGGTCCAGTTGGTTTCGGCCAACCGTCCTTAAGATCCGAATCGAGCTACCCTGGGTCGGGTTATGTGAATTATCAACCCCTTTTATCAACCGCACCCTTTTGTGAAACCTTATCCGCCCACGTCCCAACCTTTTTCATTAGCTAAACATGCTTTTGCTCTTCACCCTGGGACTGGGTGCAATCTTGTTGTCTTCCCCCTTTTATGCGTTATGGGACCTCAGCCTCATCAAGGCGGCCAACCACCGCCAGCAAAGAAGGCATGCTAACAAGTAATAATGATGTAACAATGATGTAATAATGACTTGTGTACCGTTACACATCATTTTAATTCATTAAAACAAACAAATTGCAAGTCATGAATTGAAACAGAACAAAAAAAGAAAGAAAGAGTGAAGTGAAGTGAAGAGTGGATGAGGTAACTGTGAAATCGATATTGAATGGAAGTCTTTTTCAAACCTAATAAACATTTTAACAAGGTCTAGAAGCCACATTTAGCATATTCCTGGTTAGGTAACTGTGTGTCCCTGCAGTCCAAAATAGATTGACAATATTGACCAGAATTTAGAAGCTGAATGCCATGAGGAAAACAAAACGGAAATTAAAAAAAAAAAAAGCCAGGTATACGTGTATACAGAATAATTTGGTGGACTTTCAAAATCAATCGCATTTCCTCTTTGACTATATTCCTCTTGGAATGGAAATTTCCATTACCCAAAATAGTTTTGATTTCTCTTTACTACCAAAGTCCAAAATGTTACAAGCATGTAATGTATTGTGTCACAGCAAATGAAGGGATTAAACTAAAGCTCTTTTGCTTGGAATTTTGGGATTGGCTTCACAGTGAGAAAAAAGGATTCCAATGCAAATTTCCTCTACAGTTGAACTTGCAGAAAACAGAGGAACATTTCTGTTTTCCTCTTCTTGCTACCTAAGGGCATCATCTTCAACTTTTGCAAATGTTTGGGGATGATTTTTGGATACTTCTGTTTTACTCTGCCAGGATGCTTTTGCATAACTTCTTTTCCACAAGAAACCCTTTCTGAAATAAGCAGGGACGATTTTCAGGAATTCTTTGCATTGAAAAATTTTCTTTTCCGGAGAGAATCTGAAGCAAACTATAGTGCGTAACAGAGAGCAAAAAAGGAATGAACAAATCGAAACTAAAAGAAAGCCCAAGACAAAGAGACATCAACAGCAGAATGCACCTTATATTAATCAAACCTGAGTGTGGAAATCTGGAAGACCAAGCATCTTTTCTAACTTGCCCCTACCATCTTTCCATAAGTAGCCACGAAAAACGCATAGCTGAATTCCTCCTCGCTAGAATTTGCTGCTACCTAGCAATAAGCTAAGGTCATCTAGTGGCAGGTCCATGATGTTAAAGAGCAGCTGGGTCGTCATTCCAACGTAAACATATATCTCTTTCACAGACGTTTCAAAGTTCAAAACCGAAGGAAGACCAAAATGGTCAAGGTCAACATCCAGTCCTTAAGGAGACTTGAACTGAAGTCTGGTGTGTTCAAAGCAACAGACATTACAAGGAGACTGCCAGGCTCTTTGGAGTTTGGAATGATTCCGAACTTAAAGATCTATTGGGTTTCTAGACGCCTTTGACTCAATACTGCTGACTAGAAAGCAAAATAAATGAGGAACACAGATTTAATTGCCTGAAATATGTGATAGACAAAACTAGTTTTGGACACCATTCTCTTGTCACTGATGCAGATATATTCACGGTTAACAGTGTACTTACATAATTTAAGCCTTGTGCCTTGACATGAATCCTAAACTTGCAATCTGTTAGGAGTGATATCGGCCTTGACAGGCGGGGCTTCCTTTGCAATATGAACACAAAGATACGGCGTTGCCCGCACTTTTTTAACCCAAAGTACATAAAGCACAACAGTGGAAAGATTTCTTAGAAGGCCCATGTAGTCCTTGCTCTTAATTTCACTGCATTTTTGAATCCATTGTTAAATCCTAAGATTATCTTAACAAGGCCTAAACAGGCTCACGGTGAATCTATGTAACAGCAGTTGTTATATGAGAATAGAAAGGAAGATTGATTGAGCCTATAAAAGAGCCAATCCCCCAACTAGTACTTGTTTTGCATGAACAGAGCTCAAAGGACCCCCCAAAAATTAACACAGAGCTCAAAGGACTGAAACATTCACGTACTGATGTACAGCTATATCCCCTTTTTTAAGAACCTTACATACAAATGACGCAATCCCATTGCTCTGTACATAATCAATTTAACTTTCCTCAGTGTCTGCTTGCTCCAAATCAGAGTTCAGCTCATTTGATTTATCATCAGGCTGTGAACTGTCATCTGATTGAACTTTCACAAATTGTCTACTACGTGCCACCCGAACTGGTCTTCCCATAAACATCTACAGAGGAATAACTTCTTAGTTTCTTGATTAAAAAACTAAATGCAAATACCTATCAACATTGCCCAACCAATTCAAATAATCTAAAAAATTTGTTAAATCATGAACTACCTTCCCTTGGAAAGCAGACATCACTGCATCAGCCTCTTTCTTGGATTTGAATGAGACAAAGCCATACCCGGATGACTTTCTTGGATTATCGTTAAATATAACTTCAGCAGAAACAACATTAGCACCCTCAGAACTGAAAAGCTCTTTAAGATGTTTAGCTCTTGCTTCATATGAAAGATTTGCCACAAACAAGTTAAATGCTGGCACCGGCTTCGGCTTCTCAGGTGGAGAAGGTCTCTTCTTCTTAGGTTTAGCATAATTGAGCCTTAAAGTACGACCCTCAAATTCCTACTCAGTAGTCATAAACAGATGAGAAATTTTCAGTTAAAAGTAGATGCAAAAAATTTGTCAATAATCTAAAAATATAACTAAGATAATAGTAAACAAAAATCACTTGAAATTCATGCCTAAGTGTACTCTCAGTCATTACTCTTAGTCAGGGAAAATAAACTAAGGTACACAGTGAATCCATAAAAGGTTTTGCTAATAAGTGCCTTACAAGCAGTTGTTACATTAGTATTTAAGGAAACACGGTAATTCAATGTATTGAAATCATCACTTTCACATGATTCTCAAGGCATGAATAAAAATGAGTTCTTAAATAGTAATCTTAATGAGTAAATTCAGGCATTTATTAGCAAAATTCATGCACAAGTAAGAAAAACCTGTGTTAATACTAGGAAATTATATTGCACTTTCTAGTTCTTGAGTTTCATGACATCTCAAAAGTCAAAGCCAAAACTAGCAATTCAAAAGAAACACTTAAAAGAAGAAACACTCCCAGAAATAATCAAAGGCAATATCCTTCCTTACATATGATTCGAGATTGTTGAGAGCCGCAAGTGCCTCTTCAGGCGAAGCCATAGATACAAATGCCAAACCCCTATTTCTGGTCTTGTTATGCATAGAAAGCTAAACCCAACACAAGAGAACAAACAACATACCAACATTAATATATCAAGTTATCAACCAGAAACCAAAACCTAAATTTAATAAAAAGAAAAGATTCAATTCATAAATCAAAGAGAATCCTAAATGAAAAAAAAAATGTTGGCAAAAACCTCAACATCTACGACTGTGCCGTATTTTTCGAACAAAGAACGAATGTCTTCCGTGGTACAAGTCCAAGGCACGTTCTGGGCAATCAATCTAGTTTTCGAGAACTCTTCTTCTTGTTGTTCTTCTTCGTTTAGTTGTAGAGCTGGGTCTTGGGTGGTGGCAGAAAAATGGAGGACGAAATTACCGCTAAATCTTTTAGCTATCAAGGGAAGGGTATTAGTAAGAGGAGAAAATGGAGGGGGTACACAGGTTGAAGAGACGTTTTTTATTGAGTTAAAGTTGGACTGAGAAATCAGTTTAGGTTGGGGAGAGACGAGAGAAGATTGGTGGGGAAGGCGAAGCAGAGCCATGAGAAGACAGCAAATCAGTTCAGTTAAGTGTGGTGTTCGGATTTTATGGAGGTTTGGAAGTGTGTTTCTTTGAGGATTCTGAGAGTGAGAGGTGGATGGTTTGGATAAGGAGACAGACAAGTCGATTTTTTTGGGAGGCAAAAGCTATCTCAGACTAAATATATCAAAAATGAAAGTATCCGTCCTACGCGGCGAATTTAACGTTAAGGTCAATAAATTTGACCTTGCGTAAAATAATTATTATATAACAATTAAAATAATTTTAAAATTTAAAATAAATATATGAACACGACAATCAAAATATGTAAATTTGAAATAAAATAAATCTTGTCATAAATGTATAAAAGGTGAGAAATATTGCTAAACAAAATAAAATAAAAACTCAAAATTTAATGATTCTAAAAACATATTTTAAATTAATTTCTATCCTCTAAAATTAGGAAACAATAATTATTACATAAAATTTAAAACTAAATTATTATAAAAATCACAATGTTTCAACTTTAATATAAATGTCTGAGATTAAGGATCCAAAAGTCTAAAGTTGAAATAAGCCTCCGTAAAATATTATTAATTTTAAAATTGATTGTTCGTTTCATACAATATTATTAAAATGATTAAATTTGATATAATAAGTTTTTATTTTGGATTGAAGCTTAATAAACAATTTAAAAACCATACAATATTTAATGAAATAAATTATGCATTTTTAACAACACACATTAAATTAATCATACGATTTATATGGAAAGATTTTTGAATACAATAACCAAAGGGATCACCCATTGTTAAGTTAAATCACCCACAAATACAAACAAAATCCCTTAAATGGTTTTATCCTAGTAAGGATTGATCCCATTTTAACAGAAGCCAATCGATCCACCCATTTAGTGATCAATCCCCTATTAACTAAATTATTACTTTTTTAAAAAAGTGATTTTAAACAAACAATTCTTAAAATTTAGCCCTTTCAAGTTAAAAAGTAATTTTTTTAAAAAAACAGTTAACCTAAATATATGAGAATAAAAATACAAATACAAATACTAATAGTTTGATTGCCAAAGAAATTAACAATTTTAAAATTGCTAAAATTTCTCATTACTGCATTAGTTTGAGCAATTATCTATTCTATTACATCAGATTAGTCAGGACAATGCTAAAGAAAACCAAGAGACTGAAATTACCTGTTAGAGAAGGAATTTTCCTTTCAGTCCAGACAACTAAGGTATTACACACAAACTACAAACACCGTAGCTTCAGAAAAGCTATCTGTAAAATTCACTTCTAAGACCATCATTGATACAGAGAATGACCAAAGGACAAGAAGTTAGATCCTATCATGCATGAAATCATATCATCACTTCTTGTGCATTCTCGAGTTGGGGGAGTTATATCGCAAGGGTGACAGAGGCTTCCTTGCTGAATCTAGATCGGTAAAGTCAATTTTCTTCTCAATCGGGCTGCATGTCTTCGGGCTTGATTTTCGTTTGTTTGTCTGTGAGTAGAGTCAAGCAAAGAATAGCATTAAATTAATGCAGCAAGTGCACTTGTGTTTACATATAAAACAAGCACTCAAGTGCAGACCAACAGATACAGAGAATCCAACAGAATCCTTCCTCACCTTTGCAGATGCACTACCAGAATGCTTCCCACCAGAACCATGGAGGTTCTTTTCTTTGTGATATTGCATGAATAATCTTTTGTTCTCCTCATCCAATATGTTGTTTTCTTCAAATAGAACTTTGACCTGTATAGATAAAATATCTTGTTAAGGTTTGACAAGGAAAATGCAAATTTCAACAAGCACCCAGTGTGCAAGGTCCTTAGCTTTCACCTCCTCTTCAGCTTTATTAAGGTTGATCCTCAGATGTTCCTTGTCTTTCTCAAGGGCCTTTAATTCAGCAGCTAGTGACAAAACTTTTTTAGTTGAAGGCCTCAACCTGCAAAGCAGAATCATACGAACTGATTCAGCACATACTTTGACTAAAATATGAGAATAATCCTTAGCAATAAAGAATGATAAAGCCTCTTTAATTGAGTGACACCAAATATTCCATTAACCAACAGAGATGCAAAGGCAAATCAAAAACAATAGAAGAAAACCCTCACCTATGCCACATTGTAAGCAACTTTTGACATGATTCAAGTGAATTATTTGCCTCCAAGAATGCACGTCCTGATATAACTTCATCTTTACAAATCAATGTTGCCAGAATTGACTCAAGCAAATTCTCTTCTACAGACATGCCCTCTGAAGATGAATCGATCTTCAAAGAAGGTAAATGTTTATCAGCCAGTAGATATCATAGTACTAGACAAAACTATATATGATGGCGGGTTTTCTAATCAATCATAGACAGTCAAAAACTGAATTTTTTTTTTATCTAAATTACACTTTAGCTTCCATACATTGGAATCAAATAACATAAGTAGATGCCCTTGACTACCTTTTGAATTTCTACAATGAACCTCACAAACTCAAAAACAAGATCCCAAATCACTCAACAATTTGAATTCTTTCCCTGTTCCCATCCACCGCAAACAATTTTAGAACTGTTATTGGAACCGTGGAATATCAAAGGGGAACTAACATGTATCAAGATGACAAGCTTATGGATTCAATTACCAGAAGAAAGGGACAGAAGAGGGATTGTACCACTCTAAAGTTAAAATAAATATATCATTGACTGAACTGGTATTGGAGGACTCGTGCTTGAACTTTATAGTTAGTTATTGCTAACATAGAAGGTTATAAGAAGGCATGTCTTCAATCCGTAGAACATCATCACCATTTAGCTTCCAGATGCACAAGTAAACAATTAACTGAATCTAACTTACAAATTATAAAAGTTAACTCCACTTAGGAATCAAAAATTGATGGCACAGTCTTACAAGGTAATACTTATAAAGCTCATAAACACTACCATCGACTGCTCCATAAGCATTACCATTATTCAAAACTCCTCCAACAAACAATAAAGAAATGAAAGGAAAATTATTCAAGTTACCCGTTGGCTGTCATAATGGTGTTTGTAGAACCTTAATTCTTCAGTTAACTTCGTCAACTCCTCTTCCAATTCATGGACCCTAATCTCAGCTTCCTTTGCCCTCTCATCAGCCTCATTCCCAAAATCCATCAACGCCTCCCTATCATGATCATAAAGCGAACACTCTCTTTCCCATTTGTTACACTGAGTCAACAAATTCGCACACTCCGCTGCAAGCTTCTGATTCTCCTCCACGAATCTCTTCAACGCCACCGCATTCATATTCGCTTCCGCCTTTTAAAAAAAAAATTAATAAAAATGTCAATAATTTCACATTCAAAATATAAATATATAAACTTTTTTTTATTGCATGACCTTTGATCGCTCGATGATTTGATCTTTCTCTTTCAATTTTGAGAGGAGGAACAGGCACTGGTCACGGAGGCGACGCTGGGCCTCTTCGGACGAACGGAGTTTCAATTGCAAAGATTGGGTGGAGATTTGAAGACCTAATGAATCTTCGATTGTCTCTTTTATGTAACCATCTATTTCTTCAGGAAGATCCATGATTTCGATTACACAAAAATTTTGATTCTTGAAGAACCCTAGATCTTGCAAGTTTTTTTCTCAAAAACGATCTTCTTTTTGAAGGAAACTGTAGAATTGAAAGCAAAAAAAAAACCTAAGAAACTAGAGATATTGAGAAACTGGAGTTAAGCTTCTGAAACCAGAGATCTTGAGGGGAGGCGGGGTGTCTTTTGGAGAGGGAAATTTTTATTTTTCTCGCACTTACTGTTTCTCTGCTCTGGGTTTTCAAATTGAAAGTAGAGAGGCTGAGTAGCCGTTAGAGACAGAGTAGCCCCATTGCCGACGTGGCAAAATTTTCATTTTTTGTCCTTTTTGGAGTAGTGGGCTTACTTTTATTAGGCCCCTCTGTTCATTAGCCCAAAGGAAAGCCTGGCCCAATTAGATTACTTGGATTTGTCATTATTAACGATAATCTGTTTGTATTTAATTATTCGTTGAGAAATGATAAATAGAGCAACGACTGTATCCTGGAAATAAGGCTAATAAAATAAATATTATACATACATTTAATTTTATATTATTGTGTATTTATTATCGTTGAGTTTCTTTAATCTTTTTCATAAATCTTTTTATTGGTTATAATTTGAGGTATAAATAGGAGAGTTATTTTCAACTCTCTAAAGTAAGGACTCAAATTATCAATTTGAACCGACCTAAGGCATAGACTTTATACTTTATAGCAAGTTAATGCGGAAAAAATCAAATGAAAAGCCAATAAATTCAACTTATGTAACGAGGACATTGTCCATTAAAAAATTTACTGTTGATAAGATACATTGACTTCTCCTAGTTACTTTCTAAAGGAGTTGTTTCTTGCCACGTTGTGAGCCTAGGCTTCCTTGGTATTCTCGGCGCCTTTATCGTCGACTGATTTAGCGTCGAGTGATTCCATGTATGATTCCATCTTGTCTTCCATTTCTTGCACCTGCATATTTTAATTGAAAACAATAACGATTAATATCAACCATAAAAGCAAGTATATTTTTTTGACGTCTTTAAAAAAATTAGATTAAATCATTTTAAATTAATGTAAATAAATAAATAAGCTTACGCCAAATAGCCAATTAATCCAATTTGACCAACTAAACAAGTTAGGTTTGTTTAATATTTATTTCTGTGGTACGCTCTTGGGGATTTTAATTATATTTTATATATAACAAAAGTTAGTCTACCATCTGGAGGCACCAATAATGACTTTTACGGATAAAATACTGTTCATGTTAGAAATTTAGGATGGGGAATCATGGAAAAAGGGAAAGTTATCCTTTTATAAAAAAGTAATTAATCAATCATTTGAAAAAAACTTAAAAATAAACCTCACACCCTTCATTTCAGAATAATCTTTTTGATAGATCAAATATTAATAATGCCAGACTCATACCAAAATCGATTATGAACCAAATATATAGTTGCAAGTTGAATGTTATGGTATTATTTCATTACAGAGAAGTCAAATTTAATGTTAGTCAACGAGGAGCGTGATCTGATCAACTTTTTGATTCTTATCTTGTGTATTTTATTATTGATTTTATGATTTTAAAATATAAATGAATTAAGAAACCAATTCTCGTTCTTTTCCTTTGTTTTTGTCTTTTCATAAAAGAAAAGTAAAGAAACTTGATTTTAATTAATCTTTTCCACAAATAAATAATGGGAGGATCAGGAACACAAACTACAGCTTAATCGAGGTTTATGGGCTAAGAAGGATTTTTAATTAGGTGAAGAATATTAAACCTTATCAATGAGATCTCCTGCACGACGTGCGTTCTCAGCTGTTTCTTCTGCTAAATCTTCAACCAATTGAAGAGTAGCTTGAAGTTTTCCACCTTCCGGCAGCCGATCACCAACCTCATCTGCTATCTTCTCCACTTTCTCAGCCACTTCTTCGACAACATCCGTTATACGCTCAGCTGCCTCCATCATGTTGTCAGCCTCATCTATATGTATATATATGCACGCAGTAAAGAAAAATCAAATCTCTTAGTTGCAGTCTCTCATTAATTTGTTTAAGAAGAAGATGAAGACCATCCTTACTCTTCAGTTTTAACAGTGGTCCCCATTTGCTGGTCGTAAAGGGTAGCAATACTGATATGATAACTCCCAGAATCCAGAATTGCCTGCAGATAATATAATTGTGACACCTTCAGAATAGTAGGGAGAGTAGTCCTAATGTAATGACAGAAAACTTTTCCGATCCAGTAGATTTCTATATTTCACTAACCAGTTGGTACCCGCCGGAATAAGATTAAAAGGAAATGGTGTAGCTGGCCCTGGTTCCAAACTGCAGCAGACAACCATATTGTTCCTGCATCCACTCGGTATATCTATTAGGGAGAAGCAGCCAAAAAAACTAGCATAATGGAGATTCGAAGTCCAAAAAAGGAGAATAAAAACAAGATTACATCTTCCTGCTGTTTCTGTTAGTCTGGATTCCAAGGCCGCCGGTGCCGAGTGGTGACGGCGAGGTTTGGTTCCTCAGAGAAAGCTGTTCATCCTTTTGGTTTGAGATGGCCAAGAAAAGACCAGTTTTAAGTATGGCAGGTTGAGATCTGCATAAGGAGTACTCCTGATGAAGGCACTTAACTTTGCAAGGAAGAACCGTTGATGATCCGGTCGTTAACATTTTCTGTGATGAAATCTTGAAGCACCTTTCAGTAAACGCAGCAGCAGAAAACTTCCCTCTTCTGGAGAAAATAACAGTAGAAACTTGAACAAGTAGAAGCTTTGTGATAGGTTCATGAATCAGAGGCTGCTTTCCTTTTAGAAAAATATTGGGTGTGGTTGGGACTAATGACTACACCGGACCAAAACATTAAGAGCTACCCGAATAGTAGTTCTTGTGATTGAGTATATGGAAATAATGGAGCATGCATCTTGTTTCGTTGCCGTAATAAGATTCTTTCTTTTAATTGAAAAGGTGTAAACTGTACTGCACATTTTAGATATGCACAACATTGCTCTCATTGTAACAGTAATTCAAATATATATTTTGCTAAAGTCAATGAAATCCTTGTCAATAACAAGTTATTAACAACTAATTTCATTAGTGCACTCTTTTCAATTATTTTAAAAATTATTTACCTCAATTCTGTTGAGGTATTTTAAATACTTAAAATTGACGGTGGATGGGGAACGGCTGTACACTCAATTTCAAAAATTTTACTTATAACATATGTTTAGTGGTCTCAGTAAAGACATTGGGTCAATACGAATTCGTTTTCATTTTACCACGGAAAACGATAAAAATGTGTTTTAACAGATAAAGGGAAAAAAATTGCACAAGGTAAAAGAAGAAGTATCGTGAAGTTCGGAAAAAAGAAAGAAAGAGATGTTCAAATCTCTTAATTTGTTTTACTTGTAAAATTAATTTTACTGTGATCATTTGTCACTATATATTAACAAATGATTTCTCCGCTAATTACATTAAGAAATATGTAATACATAAATTACATATTAATAAATAAATAATGATTCATATATATCTTTTTTGTTAATTCTAATATTTTTAGTAATTATATTTTTGTTGCATATTTTATGAATCAAATATAATCTAGATTTGATAATTTTGACACGATACAATAAAATACAAAATTAAATAATGTGAATTTAGATTTATTATGTTTTGTGTCTTAAACATATCAAATACTATATTTGCAATTAAACATGCTCAAATCTCATCATCATTGTTTTTTTGTTAAATATTTTAAAAAAAATAAATTATGTAAAAAAAATCAATTCAATCTCTATTTTTTTATTGAATTCAAATAAGTTCATAAACTTCTATTTCAAGTCAAATAAGTTATTCTTTCTAACTATTGACTAATTTCTATTAATCAACGATACATATAAAATTTTTATATCATATTATCTGTCACGTGACAGATAATGTATTATTAAAAATTATTAAGTAAGATTGGGTAAATGAATAAAAATGTAAGCACATAAATCTTAATCGATAATATTTAATGCCACATCATCTACTAGATGACATAATATAAAAGTATCACATATACTATTAATTAATAAAAATTAATCAATAATTAAAAAATTAATTTATTAGATCTGAAATAAAACTTAAAAGATTTATTTAAACACGATAAAAAATAATGATTGAATTAATTTTTTTTACATAATTTAGATATTTATATGAATATTTAATTTTTTTAATTTTATAATGTTGAATTTGAGTCGGAATCTCATAAAGGACAATTAATGAGAAGAGGACGCAAAACATGATCTTTCACGATACAGTACAGCTGGCTGCTACTTTTTTAATATAAGCCAACTAATCACGAAAACTTTCAACACGTGTATCATGTGTTATTCTGAATCTTAACTTAGAAATTGTAGCCATCTCTCTCTCCTCCTTTTTTTTTTTTTGTTGTTCTCTTTTTATGATGAAAACAGCGGTAGGTCATTGTTTTCTCTGTAACTTGCAAAGGCTTTTTTTTTTAAAAAAAATAAATATATATGCAACACAAGAATAATTTAATATATTATTATTAGATACATCAGTAGTAAAATTGTAATTAATTTTACAAGGAATTTCTAATATATTTATATATAGATTAATATTAAGTATTTTGTGAAGATGGAGCATGTTTTATATGCTGGATAATTAACCAGAAACTTGGAAAGTGGAAACCGAACAAAATGGTGGACTTTGACTGGCAGAGTGGCAGTGGCAGTAGCTGTGGCAGCGGCAGCCTGGCTGTATGGTCCATGGTGTCACCCGAAAATAGAGTTTGGGGACGACCATTAATTATTGATGTTCACAGCTTTCAAGTAGAAAGGGCATTTTATGCCAGAATTATTGGACCTCCGCTGGCATGAAACAACTCCACAGTGTTGCAGACAAGGATAATTTGTTTTTCATACATAAATTAATTAATATATTGTAGACATGTTCATGCAGCATGTATACATACATCTTTCTTTTCTTTTTAGATATGTAAATATTGAAAAAGAATATTAAAAAATTTTGGCAATAAACTTTTCTATTTAAAGATAATAAAAAATTAATAATTCATATGAATGTTTCCGAATTGCTCCGAACTTGGAATATGCAATGATTTCTGGTGTGGGCTAGCAATAAAAAAATAATTTAGTCACATTTCAATAATTTGGTCTTATTTCATGCTGTATCGATTGATTTCCGTCTTGGGTTAATTTAACCTGATTATAGTAAAGCCCAACATAATTACGTTGTTTGGATTTAGGTAAGTTTGTTTTTTTTTTTTTGGGTTAGATCTATCCAAACCCTTCTCATCAAATATTTAATTATTTATGCCTTTTAAAGGTACAACGTGCTCATTACAACTTAAAGATTTCATCAACATTGATGATTATTTTGGACCTCAACTCAAAAAGAGAAAAGTTCATAGCAGAAGATAATTATGAGCAAAAAGAATTGTTTATGGCAAGAAATACGTAATATATCTATCATTACATCAATTATTTTTTTTATAAAATTACAATTAAATTATTATACTTTTTTTTAATTTTAATTTTTTATTCTAATATAATTAAATTTTTATCATTAAGTATGTTGATATGACATTTTAGAATCGTGATGTTAATTGTAAACATATGATAAAAATATTGATATGATAATTATAGAGAATCTGGTTAAATATACCCACTTCCATGTTCCTCAATTTGATTAAAAGTTTACAGTTTCTGTTATTTTGATATAAAAAAAATTGTAATTCTCTTCAATTTTTTTTCATAAAAAAAAATCTACTTTAGTATATATTTGAGATTTCCTGCATCCAGAGAGTAACTCTGCAGTCTCTCAAGGATTGGGTTGCTTCATATGCAGCCAAAATATGTTTTACATCTCTATTCGCGAGTTTTGCAAATTTTGCTTCCCATAACAACTTCAATAATTCCTCAAAACGAGGAGTTTTGAGTTCCTCAATGGATGATACACTGGGAAGGTTGAATGACCTCTTCCTTGGAATTGAATAGGACGGCTTATCGATCATGTATTCTTGCTCAATTATTGGTAGATGCCGATGGGTTTTGAGAAATCATGGGTCTTTTTTATATGTAATTTTATCTCTATAGTATTTTGGCTTGATTTGTAATGATTATTTAATAGAGTTATTATAAGAAAAAAATAAGAATTAACTATGTGATTTTCAGAGAGGGGTGAAATTCAGGGGCAGGTTGAGGAGAGGATATGAAATGAGAATATGAGAGTAAATACTCTGTTGCCAGAGCATCCATAAGTCTGATCTATGACTAAATTATGCCCTATGATGTTTGATGGGTAATTAAGGCCCCTGCACTTTATTGTTGTTTTGTCCCATTAAGGAACCGGATGCAAGAAGCAGGATCTGTAAGCCATCTGCTGGCATTGCTCTGCGAGTGACAAACATGGGTAACTTCACCTCCAATAGACTATGGATAGCCATGTTCTGTAAGTTTGACATTGAATAAATGTGCTACTGAGATCTGATGTCTTTTTGCAAATGGAAAGCCTGTGGGGAAGCATTGTGTTCATTGGTGCCTCTGCAACTACTTGCTCTTTCCCCATCAAGTTCAACTTCGAAAAAGATGACTAGAAATTGAGTTTAAACTTATATATATATATATATATATATATGTGATAACCAAGTTAACATTCCTAACATATTTATATTCTCTTCAAACTCAATAAAGGCCATGATGTTGGAAGTCGAAAATTTAATGCTTGAACTGAGCTACTATTATTAATTTAAAGGTAAACAATGACAAATCAACCAATGCTAAATTCAGAATTTCTGAACCTGAAGAAATTTAACTTATGTTTCTCTCAATTGACATGAGTGTAATGCTGTTTTCTCAACATCTGCTACAACTATTACAACTCTTCACATCAAATAAAACGCAACAAGCAGATTAGAGAAACTTCTGACGCGAAACACTGCAATTTCTTATCAAGAATTGCTTTTTGTTGCCCTTTCTTCTCTGATAGGTGGATGTTGATATTGCTCGCTAGTTGATTTTTTTTATATGTCATGTGGTAATTGCACGTCATCATTTTTATTTCATTTGTGCTGATGATATTATATTAAAACATAATTAACATCACGTCAATAAAAAATATTATATTAATTTATTTAAAATGTCACATCAATATATTTAATAATAAAAATTTAATAGTATTAAAATTAAAGATTTAAATTATCAAATTAAAAAAATATAAAATTCAATTTACATAAATTATTATGTATGAATTAAATTTATATTTTTTTATATAAAAATTAATTTCATAATTTAATTTAATTATTTTTACCTTTTAAAGGTACCATGTGAGCATTACAATTTAAAGATTTCAGCAACATTGATGATTATTGTGAACCTCAACTAAAATGGAGAAAAGTTCGCAAAAGAATGTAATTATGAGAAAAAAGAATTGTCTATGGCAAGAATTACGTAACATGTCTAATGTTACATTAATTGCCTTTCTTATAAAATTACAGTTGGAAAAGGATTCATGGAACTCCGTATTCACCCTTGTCATCTTCCTTTGTCTGAGGATGACCCTTGTCATCTTCCTTTGTCTCCTTAGCTTTTTCATCCTTGTCGAAGAAAGATTCCACCTGTTTTTCCACATCGTCTATCGCATCTTCTACCTGCATTTTCAGCATTTGTATAGTTTGGAATTAGCAGAAAATAATTAATTTTGACAAAAATCCTAAAACAAGAAAAAGAAATTTAATTATATTAACAAACATAATCAATTGGAAAAAAATACAAGTGCATGCTGTTTTTGCCCTCTGGATATGAGAAAGTAGACATCTAACATGTGCGTGGTGAGTACTTTCATTCTACGCATATCAATTGTCAAACTGATATAAAACAATTAATTATTCCAATCAGGCTACCATATTAGACCAATTCCGCTTCATTCTAAACAATTCAAATCAGAGGCTAGTTGCTTCGTTGTCTTGGATTTGCAATAGGATAAGACAGAAAACAGTGATGGGTTGAATCGAAAGCAGCATTAATCATGTGCTAAGCTACGTAGGATAGACTTAATAAATACCAACTATCTAGTCCTATATAGTTAAATAATTACACATGCTAGAAAACATGAGATTAGGTAAAAGCAAAGCAAGAAACCTTGTCGATGAATTCTCCTGCTAAACGTGCGTCGTCGGCTGCTTCTTCAGCAATATCTTCAACAAATTCAAGGGCATCTTTAAGTCTGCCTTCCGGTAGTTGATTACCCACCTCATCTGCTACTTTTTCCACTTGCTCGGCCACTTCTTCTATTATATCTGTTACGGTTTCCACCGTGTCTATGACAGTTTCAACTCTGTCTATACACCATTTAACATATCTAAAGTGAGGCTCAAGACAAGAACTACTAAACGATAAGCAACTTAAATTGACAAAGATGATTGGACATGAATATTGATAATATAACTTCTAGTCCTCACCTTTCAGTTTTAATAATGGCCCCCATTTGCCCCTCCAAAAGGGTAGGATTATACTGAACAGCATTCCCAGAATCCAAAGTTTCCTGCTAAGGGAAATCACTGTGAACAAACCATATTGCAATACGAGAGTGAAAATGCAGAATGTTGTAAGACTTACCAGGAACCAGGAGAAGGATCAGAAGGGATCGGAGGTCCTGATCCAACACTGCTGCAGACGACCATGCTCCTGCATCTGTCACTATTTTGCAGTCTTAGACTGATTCCCAGCGACTGCACCTTCTGATGGTTTCTTAGAATCGGATGTTTTCCCTTTTGTTTTGACATCACCAAGAGATGACTAAAACATAGAATAGCAGGCTGGGATTTGCACGACTCCATTCGAAGGCACACAGCATTGCAAGGAAGGATGGATCCTGAAGTCGACATAACTTTGTATGATTTCCTTAATGCCTATGAAAGTCTTTACGTTTATGCAACAACAGTAAAATGAGAAAACTCACGACGAAAGAGGCTAATATATAGATTACAGGCAGCTAACAGGAAGTTTCTTAAAGAAATCATTGCGTGTGGAATGAAAGGTAGAAACGGTCGAAACCTAATGTTTTTTTACATGGCTGTTTGTTTACGTGGATCAGGAAAAAAGACTTATCATAAATTTTCCAAAGTCAAGGAATCCCAATCCTCGTTTTTCGTATGTTGAATTTATTACATTCTTGAAATTTCTTTGATATTTCCTCATTTACCTACTTATTAATATTTCATATATATTATTTTGGATAAGCAGAAATTCAGATTGAGTACATAATAAGTAGTTTTCTTCTCTTATCAATTCATAACCAGCTGCCAGCTTGAAATGAGCTGAATGCTAAACATTTTTTGCCAAGACTATATATAAGGGGTTCTAAGAGGATAAACCTAAAAAAATGCCAGTATGGTCATGACCTATATACGTCTTGCTCGGACAACTCGCGGTGCCTTTTGCATCGGTAGCTGTATTGTGATACATTGCAGCATAAATTGCATGTCCTTGGCCGGACACAGCATATCAACTTGCGGACAAGCTTCCCTAGATTCGGTAAAAATGTAAATTAGCCTTATGTAATGTCAGCCGCCCGCCAGTTTGACACCCAAATTTTTTTCCTCTTATTTTCCAACTTGCCCTCTGATTTTAATCCTGAGTCAATTATTTGGTCATTGGTTCTATTAGTCATTAGGCACCAAGTCATGGGACGAACACTGTTGTCTTGTTAACGACCTTTTCTATACGACTCCAAGCCCAACAATTTCAATAGACGCGTTTTCCCTTTTTGGGCTGAGTCAATTTTTTCCTCTTTTTGGGCCAACTGGCATTGGGGATAAACCAAAATCTTTTTCCATTCTGTGCAAGCTTGTGACTGGATGAGCCTTTTGTACATTTTTAGGGACTAAAATTATAAAAGACATTCGCTGGCCTTGAGGGCCTGAGTTTTTGAACAGGACGTCCTAGTTATGTCACTCATTAAACATAGATTCTCAAATTGTTTGGGGTTTTAGTAAACTAGGATTAAAGGCTTCCTCCTCTGCATCTCTAAGGTCTAGAAAGCTCGATGTGTATGTACCAAATAAAGTCAAGCTCACTTATTGTTAATGATTGAATGTGGTTGTCCCTGCAGACAAATCGCAGCACGCCCGCTGCCAGGCTAATGCTTGTGTACTCTGCAAACAGGCTTACATTTACGAGCCCTTGGCCTGTCTGTCAAGCTAAAAATCCACAGAATCTTAACTTAAATTCACAAATTTAATCCATCTGTATCAAAAGATCATTTCAATTAGACCAGCAACTGGATTCACAGCTTGCTACTGTCATTCACTACTCTGATGTTTAATTTTTTTGTTCCATCTAAGAACCTGAGGAGGCATTCTATTTCATCACTGAAGGCCAGGTGTGAGGTCAATAAGAATAATTAAGGAGGAGAAATAAGATTAATAATATACTTATAGCAGATATGAGGTCCATTTCAACTCGACAAGTACACAATATCCCCTAACCATGACCCGAGGGGAACCCGACCAGAGATATAGTTAAATGCGCTTAATCAAAGATGTAATATGATCATCATGATTAGGACCAGCTACCAGAAAATGGCAAGATTGTGGAAAATTTGATCCACCATGAGTAAATTATAATAAAAGTCTAAAGTCATGGCTTGCAGTGACATCTTATGTCAATATGTTGTATAAATCTACTTTATTCATATGCAAAGAGGATGAGTCAGGAGACTGTAATACTCAGCTTTCCTGACAAAGTAAATTAAACTTAATTAGTATAGCTAAAAACACTCATGAGCAAAACACAGAATAAAATGAATGATAGAGAAATAATTTAAACTTCAGAGGATGAGCCAACTGGCTGTGTAATCTGTGCAAAGATTAACAGAGACCTGAGTTCTTGTAATACCAATTGGTAAACACAACCAAACACATACACATCAGTCTACTCCTTACTAAACCCTGAAAGAGACAAGTTTCTTAATTTTCTTCATTTCTTTTCTTCCAATTCAAACCAAAGTTTAAGTTTGCAACTCATTAGTCTTTCTTTCTTTCATCTTTCCTCAATCCTTTCTTCATAGCAATGAAAAACAGAAAGCTTTTTCCGACTCTTGCAGAAACAAACCAAACTGTAGACTGCCATGACTTCTGTGATCCCGCCTGCCCTTACAACTGCTACCCTTACCCTGACTATTATTTTCTACCTCCACCGCCACCGCCGCCACCTCCTTCTCTCTCAGATCAAAACCATTACATCTCACCTTACGTGATCATCTTAGTTTCTGTACTCGCCAGTTTCTTCCTTCTTATTGGCTACTATGTCATTATAATCAAATCATGCTTTGGTTTGTGCTGGTCAAGGAACAACAGGCAACAACAAGCTCAAACTGATGGTTCAGATGACGAGTTTCTTGATGAGAATCGAGTTGATCATCCTATTTGGTTCATCACGACTGTTGGTTTGCAACAATCGATCATAAATTCGATCACCGTTTGTAAGTACAAGAAGGGTGAGGGTTTGATTGAAGGGACAGAATGTTCAGTATGCTTGAATGAGTTTCGAGAGGAGGAGACAGTCAGGTTGTTGCCTAAATGCAACCATGCTTTTCATATTTCCTGTATTGATACTTGGCTAAGGGCTCACACTAATTGTCCCTTGTGTCGAGCACATATTGTCTTTGATGCTGTTCGTGCCCCACCAACTTCTGCTGATCAAAATTCTAATAATATGGAGCTCGTCGCCGATAACCGGATAGAAAATTCTGAGATTGGAGGTGAACTAAGCAGTCAGAATCAGGGGAGGAACAGCGAGCTTTGTGAAAACGGGGCCAGAGCAGACGCTTCAAGTGAATTGCCTGAGGCTAATGACCAAAGAATTTTAAAGGAGGGTGCCTATTATGATGAAAATGGCACTTTGGAAGTCAGTGATTGCATTGACAGTAGCCAGGCTGTGGCTAAAGAGATACAACAAATAAAAAGGTGCGTTTCGATGGATTCTTCTTCAGCTGCAAGTTTGTTTCTCGGTTTGGCAAATTTATGTCCTCTTAAATCAGAAGGAAGTTCTTTTGATCATCAAGAGGATGTTGAGAAGCCACATTCAAGCATCATTCCAAATCAAGATGAGGGTGACTCAAGCGAGTTTAGGCCGATGGGTAATTCTTCCATAGCTCAGCATCTTCATTTAAGTCCTGTTCCCATGAAAAGATCATTCTCCTGTGGCGGAAGGTTTTTCTCATCCAAACGTAGCCGCAGCATGAATTCAATACTTCCGCTGTAAAGGTTTTTTACTCTTTTAGATATAGTCTTGGCTTTATGAGTGGGATATTTGTTAAAAAGAGAAACTGTATGCAGTATGCACCCTCTTTAAATTTGGGGTTGTTTTTTCCTGCTTCTCCACCAACGCATGAAACTCAAGCCTTATGATGCTGAGCTACCACCAGAGGAATTTTAAAGAGACTTCTCTTTTCAGAAGAATAAACTTCATGTATTTGCCTTGGTTTCGAGTGCTGAAGTAGAACTTCATTGAAGCTTCAACTTGAACATAACTGATAACTATATGCGAGAACTCATTATGTCACTGCTGTTATTCAGTAATGAGAAAAGAGAAAATATTTGCACAAGAAATGTTTCTGCAGAGATAAAGCAATTGCTTTCAAGTTTCAGCGTTGATTTTCACCTTTTTTTTTTTTCACTAATTTGAATGAACTTTCATCCATTGATGATTATGATAGACTTACATGTAACTATTAGCTTAAGAAAAATAAACATACAATGAACAATTAACAATCTAACTAATGTATAACATTCAATGACTATTCTAATATACTAAAACGTGTTAAAAGGTTTAAGCCAGTTCTTGTACATCTTTTCTCTATAGTTAGGTATGTTTAGGTAATAATATATAGTTCTAAAAGCCAACCCTGTTGATTTTTCTTTGGAGAAACTGGCAATAGTTTAAACCGAGGAGAAGTTAAAATGTATATGAAGGTTGTTATATTATCTAAATCAAGCTTGCTTATATGCTTGAAAGTTCCATTGACCGAACCATTAGTTAGAGACTTACGTTTTCATAGTAATACTGTATAGAAACCATAGAGTAATGGAGGAAAATCAAGCAGTCTTGTACGCTTTCCCTAAGTTTAAAACAAGAAGACAAGAACCAATAATTTATAGGTTGCTTTGAAACCCGGTATAGCCACCGTCTTGGTTACTGGTACATGCAACCAAAAACAGTCAATTTCCTTCTGTGGTCAATGCTTGCCTAATTCTGGTGACACGGGGTTTTTCTTCTCCTTTCAGTTTTCCATCATGACCTAATTGCCATCTACTCAATCAACATCTCTTTACTCTAAATATGATGATCTCAGCTCATAGCTTCTCAATTTGTGCATGTCTAACATGGCAGGGTTCATAGCAATACGATTTGCTTGTCTTAACAGATCTGAATGGTTGCTTCTCCAACCATGAAGTGATACTGATTCAATAACTAATCTAAAGCCCTCGGATTATGCTTCAAGCCTTGCCCTGAAACCAGTCTTTAAAGCCAGAGGTTAGTCGTGCAAACAGAGCCCAACCAAGTCGAACTTTCTCTGATTCGGTTTGCCTAAAGTGTTGCTAAATTGGAACATAAACTGAGTCACTTTCAACTTAAGCGTGAGAAACTTACCGGACTTCAAGCCTAGCTGGGGCTCTTGACATTGTAGGACAGCCACTTGGGCTTTGAAACAGAGCTTCATAGGCCTACATATATGGGCCATAGGGGATCAAATATAAAATAAAATTTCAATTTACAAAAATTTTGGAATGATCTGAAAATATATTTTAAATTAAATTCTTATTTATTAAATGATATTGCCACTGCCAATGAGACTTTATTAGTTTATTGGGTATCTACCAAATTTATTGATACATTGTGTTATGGGGTTAATTAGTGAATATCCATGAGTTAAACTCACTTACGTTTAAACTTTGACTCATAAACAAATCGACTCGCGATTCATTCTGGTGTTCTCTTAGAGCCTTTGACCTCAACTCTTCGTTTGTGTTTGTTGGAAATTATGATTAGGTATAACAGCCATGCCTGCACTAGGTTGTTTTGTTGCAGAGCTGTTTTAAAACCAAAATCTCCACGACTGAAAGATCTCATCAGATCTTTTAAGTTGACTTAATTATTTGGTATTCGGTATTCCTCAAGAAAATTAGTTCTAAAAGGAGTGCTTCAATTCAATATATCCAACAATAAGCACGCAGACGAATGGATTCAGAGCTTGCTACTTCCATTTATTACTCTGATATTCAATCTTTTCCATCCAAAAACATGAGAAGGCACTTTATTTCATCACTCAAGGCCAGGTTTGAGGTCAATACGAATAATTAAGGACAATAAATAAATAAGGTTAATAATATAGTTATAGCAGATATGAGGCCCATTTCGATTCGACAAGTACACAATATCCCCTAACTATGACCCCGGGGGAACCCTATCAGAGATGTTGTTAAACGCGCTTAATCAAGAAAGTCATAGCTTGCAGTGACATCTTATGTCAAGAGCTCGTGTAATTGTACTTTATTCATATGGCTAAAGGATGAGTCAAGAGACTGTAATACACTGCTTTCCCAACAAAGTGAAATATAGCTGGAAAACACTTTGACAGAAGAACAACAACAGTAAGGTTCTGATCAGCACTCATGAGGAAAACACAGGGTTGATTCTCAATAATGTGCTGTCTTCATGGCCCTGATGTGCAAGCTCCATTACGTCGTAATGAAAAACTCTTCACTTTCAGTCTCTGGTCATGTTCTTCGTGTGTTATGGTGTTTTGGATATCAGGGTCCTGAATTAGTTATAGTTGAGACGCCAGCTTAAATTTGCTTAGTGGGCCGTTTCGCCTTGCTTCAGTGTTTGAATGAAGAAAAATATAGCTTTTGGATGTTGACACTATTGCTTTTCACTATAGTAGGGTCAAATAGGATCTTTGATTAAAATTGTCATTACATTAGTTAAATCGTGACGATGAGAGTGTCGATCCGGCTCTTAAGATTTAGAGGAACATGTCCCGGGGGTAGGCTCAACCCCGATAATACCTCAGGCTGCTGTCGTTTTGCTTCTTACATGCCTTATCATGTAAAGTGTGTGGCTTTGCCTGGTGGATGCTGGGGCTGGGGCTGGGGCCGGGGCCGACTCTGTTTTCGTAGAGTACACAGAAAAAATGAGTCCTTCTCTCGAGGTCGTACCCATTTTGTCACTACTCTTTGGCAAAGATGGTCCAATGATGAGTTTGGAAGATGTTCAGTTGTCACCTCCATGGCCATTCATTTTGAGGATCGATTCTTATTGAGAAGTGTTGATCTCCGTCTCAATGATAGTGAAAAATGGTAGTAGTAAAGGTAATTGAAAATTACACCTGGAAAATCAATTTTAGTTTTGCTTGTTAACTGAAAATTAATTTTCAAAAGATAATATTTTTTATTGTTTAGATGAGATTTCAAAAGAAAACATTTTTCTTTGCATTTACAAAACTTTTAATCCATTAACGTAATTTTCTTCACAAGATTTCTAATGTACACCATACAATACAATATGAACAAAATAAAACAAAAATGACCACAAATTCATATTTTTCACTATCCTCAAATTCTTTCATGATTTTTACAAACCAAATCAAAGAAAAACCCTCAAAATGTATTGACGCCAATTGTACAAATCAGTCACTCAACACATAGCCCGTAGGTTTCACTAATCTCAACCGGCTTGCAGAGGGGGAGAGTAAAAGTGGTCGACGTGGACAGAGACAAGTCGAGGAGTTTGAGAATCTATATGTAGCATGATTATTGTCGAACAAATTGATAATGGCTCATAAATGCTTCTCGGGATATCCATGCCCAAATCCATTGTCCCCCTACGCAACAGCCCCTAAAAACTTAGGTACCAGTCTGGGCATGTGCATGCAAAGGCAGGGAGGGAGTGGGGGACCCTGTCGCCATCATCAATCATACTTGTAGGTGATGTCAAATATTGAAAACACCACCCATCCCATCCATGGCGTCACATTCAGAAAGCTTTCGCTGCTCACTTCCCCTTCGGGCCGTCTTCGCCTTCTTTCCCTTCCCCTTACCTCACCTCACACCCCATCCAATATTTAACCCATCAAAGAAAAGCACTTTTTTTTTCCTGTTATGGCCATTGGCTTGGCTTTTGATGAGAAAATTAAGGCAAGGCAGTTGACAGCGTTAGGAAGTACTGTAATAATTCGTCAAGCTGCAGGAAATTCTCCAATCCTACAAAGATACGTGCATTGGATTTGCTTTGGAGTTTGGGAAGGACGCTCATTTACATATTACACGCAGAGCAGAAACACTTAAGATTCTATATATAAAAATATGGTAGTAGTATATGATTATATATATAGAAATGGAAATTGGGTCCTAATAATACAAGATTTTAACAATCTAGCTGCCAAGATTCTCCCGGGGCTCTGATGTGCGGATCTAACATCATCTGAACGCCGGCCCTATTGAAAGCAATTGAAGTGGACATGTCATGGACAGTAGCGTCCCCAGCAGTAACGCCTTCGGAGAACCCCAACACACTACAATCCATCTCAAAAAACAAGGGATTTTGACATGGGTTCGGATGAATCTTGTCCATCCAGTTCAAGCTGGCATCAGGCAGTTGGAAATGGGAAAAGTTAGCCTCTGTCTTGCACTGTTTGGGAATAGTGGCTTGTTCCTTCAAAATGCAATCTTGATGTGAGAGGAGGGACTTGAAGAGCATCGATGCTGATGGGTTGCTGGTGTCTGTGGCAGCGTTCTTGTCTGTTGTGTTGGTAATGGAGGAAGCGATTGTGGTGGGATTGGCTGAAAAGGAGGGTTGGACTTGGAGCCCGTTAGCTGGGAAGAGTGGGGATTGGGAGACAACTGGGTTTATTAGGCTTTTCAGGTCATTTTCTTGGCGGTGAATCACAAAAGAGTTCTGGGCCTGCATTGGAGTTTGAGATTGAGATTCTAAGAATGCTGTTGGGGTTTCAAGCAGCGGAGGCAAGGAACTCGTTGGAGACGAAGAAACTTCCAATATAAAGCTTTGTCCTTGAGCAAGGGCAGTTTTCTTCTCACCTGTTTTGTGAAATATTCTGCAAATCACCCATTCTTCCTGCAAAATAACCATTTAAAAGAACATACTCCGCTAATAAGTATTGACAATGCAAAAAAGAACTAAGTACAAACAAATCAGCTTATATTCTAGCCTTCTAGGAAAGAAAAAGAACGACGAAATGGAGGAGGGTTTAATCAGATCCTTTAGTTTAGAATGTTTTCATGTTGAACTTCAAGAATCATGTACACATTTCAGAGTTTGCTTAGCCTTTTCAGAATTTTGTATACTTGGTCATGCATGTTTAGTGCAGAAACAAACTTGTCGCATGATTAAGATAATGAAGACCAGATCAGAAGGTGTAAGCGGAGCGGTAACCCAAACGAAAGAACAGAAACGCCAGCTGCTTCTGACAACCATATGGCACTGAGTAAAATCAAACCAATCACATCAAAAACTACCCCGGTGGATAATAATAAGGTGAAAATTGTCAAGTCGGCATGTACAAGAAGTGCAGAGTTTGATAGTAGGGTATGATAGAAAAGAGTTTTTGTAGTAGCACTAGGATAATAAGTCAACCCCAAAAGCGACAAAAAGAGGGACGAGGGTCTGGGTGTGTGCCAGGGGAAATAGCTTGATTCCCACGGCGCACGTGTGGCCCATAATTACCTTGCACGCGTGGCGGTAGGAGAAGTCACCGTCTAAACGGTACTCGTGCATGACCCACTTGGTCTTCTCGCCACGGGGGGCTCTGCCCCTGTAGAAAACCAGGGTTTTTTTCATGCCGAGAAGGGCTCCACTTGAGGCGCTGTACACTTCCCTATCTTTGCCTGTGGCTTTCCAGTACCCAGCTCCGGTGGCTCTATTAGTTCTTAACCCTGTCGGGTATTTCCTGTCTCTCAGGCTGAAGAAGTACCACTCCCTTTCCCCCATTTTGGCCACATCTGAATCAAAACCCAGAGTGTAATTGCAGTTAAGACCACAATTTATAGACTATATGTATGCTACTATTCGATAATCCCCTCCAACTCCATCTCTCAAATACACATTTATTACATGAATGATATATTGTCAGAAGTTGATGCGATTAGACCCTTTCCAGGAATTAAATTAAAGACTGAGTTTTTAACCAAAAATGAATGGTGCGGAGCGGCTCAAAGGGAATGTGTGTATGATACTCAACTGCTTGACACAGACAAGGGTTTTAACTTATCCAGTATAATTATATATCTGCAGAAAAGAATGAAATAACTAAAGACGTGCTACATGTCTCGAAATTTTGATTCAACGCTTACAAGGCGAGCCTTAGCTAGGGGCTCTCCGGTCTAGAATGAGTATTCAGAATCATTGTAACAAGGATATCCTGCAAACATCCTTACTAAACATGGTGCAAATCCAGCTTCACTACAAAGCTCTTGGTCTGTGTTTCAAAATCAAGGCTCAGGCTCAGCCATACTTAACTGTTCTTTCTCAGGGACTCTTTAAGACCCAGAACAAGGATGCAGCAGGATGATTAAGGCATAAGAAGATCAGAGGTAGCTTGACTAGTCTACCTTGTCCTCCACTCAGAAAGAAATCAGCATTTTCTTCTAGCTTGAGAAAGAAAGGAAAAAGCAAAAGAGTATCTTCTCAGCTAAGAGGAAAAAGGAAAAGGAACTTATCTGAGGAATCCAGAAACATGTCAAGCCGGCAACATGCTAGAGAATGCCATGATGTAAAGCGGATAGAGAATATTCTTGGATATTTGCATATAATCATTCCATTAATTTTGACTTAGGAGAGAAGCAAGCATGTACCTGGAAGCTCCCAAGGTTCACATCTATTAAGATCAACCTCAGCGATCTCTACTCCGCAAAAGCTCCCATTAAATACCTTTGAAGCCAAATAGAATGTTATCAGTTCTTCATCGGTAGGGTGAAATCTAAACCCCCGCGGCAAACCCTGCTCGTTTAATTCTTCCAGCAAGTTCACTTAAAAGTTCCTCAACTGATAACATCTTCTCGCACACAGCTAATGTTCTCGCAATGGAATAAAGAGAGGAAGGGTGAACAAGATTATGATCTGCAACAAAGGGGCATTGTATGTGAATGAATGCGCAGCTAGAAGTTATATTAACATGCACTACATGAAGAGAAGGACTAAAAGTGAAGGAGAACAGAAGCCATTCTGAGGAGGGCTAAAGGGTGGAGAAAGATATAGGCTGTCAAAAGGCAATGGGGGCCCCACAAAAGCGCACCTGAAAGGCTTCTAAGACAGGAAAAAAGAAAATTTGAAAGTAGTTTTTCCGGAAAAACAAGAGAGATTGAGGTGAAATAGAGAGGGAAGGGTAGTAAATGCAAAGTTGGTTGCAGAGTCCAGAGATTTATGCGTGCGTATGTGAGCATATTAAGAGAGAGAGAAAGAGAAATGAGTCAGGTTCTCAGATGGATAACACGAGGGTAGCTCGCAGAACAGTGAGCTCATCATCACTTAATTCATTTTTATGCACAAATTATAATATTAGTTTAGTTGTACAACAAGATTGCCAAATCTAGAACACCGTAGCAGCAGTTCTTTACCTCTTTTTCTCTCTTCTTTTAATTTGTTTTGTGGATATTTACTGATTAAATTTTATCTTTCCACACCTTTGCTTTTTCAGTTTTTACGTTGTGAAAGGCCATTGGCAATTAATGCTGACTATCCTTCTCTTAATCTCTATAATTAAGAGGGAAAGCTTGCTGCCACACTTTCAACTTTTAAAGCTCTCTTTCCTAGTCTGTCATATCTTTGGTAATGGCGTATGTTGTTCTCCGCGATGTAAGGTCTTTTGGTTTGACACTCGGCTGTGGTAAAGGAAAGGCAGGTTAGAGATCTAGAGAGATCAATGTCCATGTCATGGTGCAGACCAAAATAAAATACTACTCCGACTGATCATTGGGTGAATTAATTTATACAAATAACCCCAAGCTTTGAAAATTTGTTTGAGTTTAACGAGGTTAAACTCAAACATTTAGGAAGATACAACATCATTAACAGTTCTAAGTCAAATGAAGAGGATAAACTAAGCTTGTTCTCCGTGCTTAAGATCAGATGGAGCATCCTGGAATCCATGTTCTCCGTAACGGAGTCATGAGCTGATCAGGCTGATGATTTAAGGGCGGAGGGTGGGGGGCATTAAAGGGGCAGCTCTTCAAATGTCGGCGTTGCACGTGTAGCATGATCAGGTAATTAAAAGCGCGTCGTAGGCTGCCGCTGCTGGCTGCTGCTGTCTTTCTCTCTCGCTACTGTAGCAACTAAGCGTCTAGATCTTAGTGACTCACCCAAGTAAAAGATAACAACAGCCAGGATCTACTGCACGCATATAGTTAGTAAGTAATATATTTTCTGTTCAGATTACCCTCTCTCCATCTCTCCCTCAGATCATGCACATAAAAAAATGTTTAGGCTACATAAGCCTAGCTACGGACTGCTGCAACCCCTAGGTCCGTAACTGTAGCTATGCTTTTCAATGTGTTTTCTTTTTCCTCTTCTCTCTCTCTCTCTCTCTCTCTCTCTCTCTCTCTATACTCTCCCTCTCTCTCTCTAGCTCTGATTATTGAGCACCTTTTTGCATAGCGTCTCTGTATGCGCTTCCCTCGTGGGGGAAAAGAACACGGTACAGGATGCAGGAAAACAAGGAACGCAAAACAAAAAAAGCTTACGGCCCCATTCTACTCACGTTGCCCACCAAGCAAAGGAGTGGCCCAGTGAGCTTGGCCCACCAATTTATGGAGTCCATCCATAAGGATACAGTTTTTATTTTTTTATTTGCTCGGCGCCGCTGCAGCCTGCCGCGCCGGGGTTTTGGTAGTACTATTGGCAACTCCGCTTAACTACATAAATAGCCACCATGCAATAAATTCTTTGCAACGGCCTTAAACAAGTAAGCCAATGCATTAACAAATTAATTACTTTCTTGATTTCCTCTGCTTTACTCCCTCCATCTCTTTCTCTTCAAACAATGCATTGCAAGACCCGAATTGAGATGATTACTTGAATATGTGAAGATAATATTATTTAAATTCAATTGTAAAATATTTTAATTTTATTTAATCAAATCAGATAATACAAGATATTTGATTACAAAATACTTATTATGTATTGCTTTTGTCTTGGTCTTAGCCTTGGTTTATAGCGATCAATTCTATGCAAACATTTTTCATGAAGTAAATACTGGACTAACAATTAAGATGGATCTTGACAATGACAAAATTACAAGACGATGGATTTAGGACACAGGCAGTTCCCCACCACTTTTTATTTTGTGGTTTTTCCTTTGGATATATAGTATATAAAATGTAAGTTAATGTATAAGATAAGATGACAATAGATTAATGAAATGGTCAGCAAGGACGTACGTGCAGGTGCAGCAGCAGCAGCAGCAGCACCGGCCTCAACACAGGAAGAGACTAAGGAGAAGGACATGTCAAGGAAGAAAAAGGCAGTCTCATTATTATTTATTCAATTCAAGAGCGGCTCTTTCAGCTCTTTGCAGTATACCGAATGCATTTCTATCTCTCAATCATAGACCTACCCTTTTCTGCCAATGCAATAGAGCTAAAACCCCACTTTATTTTTTTTTCCCCATATCCGTACATTTTTCATTCAATATTTGGAATTTGCAACAGATGAATTATTGAACAGTGTCCGGGGGGGGGGGGGGACCTGTGATTCTTTCATGGGTTTTTTTTTAAAACATGTTGGTTACCAAAAAAATTAAATAAGTGAAATGATTATAAAGAAATCCAAAGTATGTACCAAGTTGCATTTTCCTCTCAAATACAATATAGTCAAAGTAACAACAAAAGCGAACAAGAAGAATTAAAGCTCTTGTGAGTCCCAAAGTCTAAAGTCTACTGTCTAAGCCGCTTGCCCTGGCCCTGGCCCCTTCTATGCCTTGACCTATAATCAAAAGTACAAAATGTTAATGTGTATTTTGATTTGATATAGTTTAAAGAGGGGACAGTAAATAAATAAAAATGAAAAAAAATACTGAAACGGAACAAACTAAAAGTATACAAGTACAATAGTAAATCATACTCATAGCTCCCAATGTTTAAGTCAGGTATCATGTTTCTCCTTGAAATTTAAAAATTATTTATTGATATTTATACTTACAATTTTATAACAAAAAAAAACCATTCGCTTAATATTTTTTGTTAAATGTCACCACTCACATGTCAATTAATGAGTTCAAAATTAATTTGTTAAAAAATATTTGTTTAATTTTATTGTATCCGTAATCTATAAAATGTCCCAAACCGCAGTCTCTGCAGAATACACGTGGGACTTTTAGATGGGCACGGCACTTTTGCTTTTAGTTGATTTTTTTTAAACGTAGGGACCAGACCCAGACCCAGACCCATCACCTCCCTTTGGACTGGACGGTCTGGAGTCTGGACCCAGACCCATTCTCTCTCTCCCTGCTTGTCGTTTTATAGTTCTCTGAGAAGCCTACTTCTGCAGGCTGACTACTGTAAATTTATAGGGGCAATGGTAGAATAAAATGGCATCCGACATCCACCCCTCCCGCCCTTTCTCTGCAATTAATCCCCAGTCTTTTGTTCTTATTAAGTTTCTCTTCATCTAAATCTAAAGTATAATGAATCCAAGATTCAAAGGCATTTGGAAGGTATTTTGAAGAGATGCGTTTGGACGAGAGATTTGAAATAAAAAATATTGCAATTTAAGATAAAAAAGTTTCCATGCCCCAATGCGTGTACCATGTGGATTGATAGGCTAATAGCGTCGCATGCAGACAACTCGTGACCACTGTTGAGTTTTCCTAAAAAGGAGATAGGAATTGTAGCAGCACAGGGAAGGTACCAAAGCTGATTTCAATGTTAACTAAACAGAGAAAAAGAGCTAATACCAATATATTTAATTATTAAAAGAAATATTGATAGATTTGATGATTTTTTTCCCCTAAATTTGCAGAAATACATCTCGGGGGCACGACACTCCACTGAGAATAATGATTCCTAAACAGTTATTTTGGACGTCCGTACTACTCAAGCCTACTTTCTTTTGACAAGATGCTTTCTCTACTTTATCTTTTTAAATCCGTCTGTCTACTTTTTGATTGATGCTTAGGCTGTTAACAGTTTTTTCTGCAAATTGCACTGACCAAAGCGACAACGTGTAAGTAGCCTCAGCCCCTCTTAAATTATATGATTAGGTTGCCTGTTAGTGTTATGCACCATGGTTTTCTTTTTTCCTATATATGGCTGCCGTGAAAATTAAAACGCTTTATGGGAATTTCTTGTTAAACAATTAAATCAGGAAAGTTGATTCCGCAAAATGATTGAAGTATGTTTTGTTGGGGATTCGGCGCATGATGGGTAGGTAAGTCGCTGCCAGTTTGCAGGTGGCATGAATTTACCGTAATCTCATTTCTAATTACGATTTGGTGACTTGACTAGGTGTTAATGTTATTCACTGCATCTCGGCCTTCTCACCAACCCCCAACAATGAATGCATGGTATTTGTAAAGGCCAAGTCAAAAGAAAATCATTTAACTACTCTATTGGTATTTGCTAACAAATTAAAGCATGCATATGATCAAATATCCAAGGAGTTCTCACATGCTGCAAGGTACGTACGTGTTTACCTTTGATTTGATAATGAGTTTGTTTCTCCAAAATGTATTCGAAAGCTGGGTTGGTGAGTACCCACTTGTGAGATTTTTTATTAAATTATGTCCAATTCCGTATGCCTCTCTATATAAGAATCCAACTTTATCTCCTCTTGGCTTCGTTTAAGAAACTTCCACCTATGTGTTAAGGTGTGATGATGAACATATAGAAAGACGATTACCTCTCTAATTAATAGGTTAAGTGTCCGGTTGATGTCAACGCTCATGACAAAAGGCTACGAAGGAAGAATTGTTTGAGTAAGTTTGATAATATATACCAGTACTATACGACCGAACAAAAGTGATAAAGGGAATAGATCATAAACTTGGAGTCAAAGCCAGCTAAAAAACCAACCTTAAACATTAAGAATGATTCAGGAACATTCCCAACGACCTTACTTGGAAGCAATACATGAATCATAACCTATATAAATCATCCATATCTGCCCCTTCGTCTTCAACTATATATATATATGAATCTGTTTTACGAAGTAATAAAATTTCTAGCTGAAAATGGCATTCTCCTCAATTTCTAAGATCTTCCTTGTATCCTTTTCTTTGTGTCTCTTTGCATATTCAGCTTTAGCTCACGATTTTTCAATCTTGGGCTATTCGCCAGATGATTTGACATCCACGGACAAGCTCATCGATCTATTTGAGTCGTGGATGTCAAAACATAAAAAGGTTTACGAGAGCATTGAGGAAAAGTTGCATAGGTTTGATATTTTTAAGGATAACCTAATGCACATCGATGAGACTAATAAGAAGATCAGTAACTACTGGCTTGGACTGAATGAGTTCGCAGATTTGAGCCATGAAGAGTTCACAAAGATGTATCTGGGCCTGAAAGTCGACTTGACTAGAATAAGTGGAAGGAGCGAGTCTGATGAAGAGTTTACTTATAGAGAAGTTATGGATTTGCCAAAGTCTGTCGATTGGAGAAAGAAAGGAGCTGTTACTCGCGTCAAGAACCAAGGATCATGCGGTAAACCTCATGCAGTGCACTCTCTTTAATACAAAAACATGCGCAAGTGTATTTGTATACTTACTGTTGGATTTTTGAGTAAATCAAATGCAGGTAGTTGCTGGGCATTTTCAACTGTCGCTGCAGTGGAGGGTATAAACCAGATTGTTAAGGGAAATTTAACTTCACTCTCAGAGCAAGGGCTGATTGATTGTGATACTACCTACAACAATGGGTGCAATGGAGGCCTGATGGACAATGCATTTGCCTACATTATCGCCAATGGTGGACTTCACAGGGAAGACGACTACCCTTATATCATGGAGGAAGGCACTTGCGAGATGAGAAAGGTTAAATACTTACAAATCCCATAACCAATTTAGGCCTAGGAATTAGTAATTAACTTAATTATAGCAGAAAGATTTATGTTTGTATTGATGTAGCCAGCCTGTTCAAATTTCAAAGAGCAGTAAGGCAGATGGCCCGTTTACAGTCTGCAACTTATTTTCTCTCTTCCAGGAACAATCGAACCTTGTAACCATCAGTGGGTATAGCGACGTCCCAATGAACAACGAGAAGAGTCTGCTGAAGGCACTTGCAAACCAGCCTGTGAGCGTGGCCATTCAGGCTTCTGGTAGAGACTTCCAATTCTATAGCGGGGTAAGTGAACGAACACTAGCTGATTTCCAGTTCCGTTGGACGACCAATGTTTTAATCCCTTAACTTAATCAGGGAGTTTTTGATGGGCATTGTGGAACCCAACTGGACCATGGAGTGGCAGCTGTTGGGTATGGGTCAACCAGCAAGGGCTTGGATTACATCATAGTCAAGAACTCGTGGGGCCCAAGATGGGGTGAGAAGGGCTACATAAGGATGAAGAGGAACACTAAAAAGCTTGAAGGGCTTTGCGGAATCAACAAAATGGCTTCTTATCCTATCAAAAAGAAGTGAAATTATAGGCTCCCTATGTTGATTTCAGTATTAATATTGTTATATTAAAGTGTACAATGATGTTCTCTTTTTTTCCCCCATATTTGGCTGATAAATAGTTTGATTGCCTTTAAATATACGCTACCTTGATTAAAGGTAAACTTCCTTCATCTTATTTTCTTAGATTTTTTACTTCCATTATACAATACAAAGTAATTTTATCTGATCCTGTCTCATTGGGATTACATTACATTTTTTATTCTTTGAACATGTTTTCTTTCTTTATTTGGATAAGAATTAATTTTAAAATAATTAGTCTATAAATCGATGGTGAAGTTTGAAATTTGGAAAAATTGATTATATTTTGCTTTCAAAGTAGCTTTGTGAGATTAATCTTTAAACCAAAGAAACTGAAAATTGATTTAAGTAGTGGAGTGGTGCAAGTAAATGCATTTATTAGAATTCGCGAGGGAGTATCATTGATAACAGATTAATAATACATGCTTAGTATGTGAGAAAAATAAGTACAAAAAAAATACTATGTGAAAAATTCACATTACCTATGGAATAGGAAAGGTAACAAAGTTTCAAGCTTTACATATATGACACAAGGGATTTCATTTTGGTGAATCAGAACGGTTCCGGGAGTTTGTCAATCTAAAATCCTGACTCATAAAGCATATGCATTTTCTCTGTAACTTGTACAGCAAGATACGAACTCTCGAAAAAGAACGCATTGAAAAGAGAAGCTTTAGTTCAATGTTGAGCTAGGCATAGCCGTCATCAGCCAACAGTAGTTTCATTGTTAAGAGACGAGAAGCAGGAATGCGTCAGCAAACTTGCACTGCCGGTGAGGCCTCCCAGGATATATTGTTCACCGGTAGACTCATCTTCATTCTCATTGTCCTCGAGGGACCTTCCCATGGTTTCCGGTGTGAAGAAAAAAGTCACCGCCAATCCGACAAGACACACCGCACCCAAGAGCACTAATGCCACAGTCATTCTCACGGGGCTTGGATTGCCATCACTGTTTTGATTCTGCGAAGCCCACAAAAAGCCAACTGTCCCAATGATAGCGCCGACCTTCCCCACGGCCCCGGAAATGCCATGACAGGTTGATCTAAATCTTGCAGGAAATAATTCAGCGGGGACTATAAAAGTGGTGGTGTTTGGTCCAAAATTAGAGAAGAAGAAACTGAGTGCATAGAGGGCCATGAATCCAACATCTATGTTATCACTCCAGTAGTATTTGTAGGGGATACCAATTGCGAAATAAACCATTGCCATGAAGAAAAAGCCTATCATTTGGATTTTGACTCTTCCAATGCGATCAATGAAATTTACGGTGACCCAATAACCTGGAATTGTAGAGCAGATTGCAAGAATTGCTTGGAAGCGAGCAACTTTAAAAGCAAGCTCATAAGCGTTCAAATCATTGCGGTCTTTGACAAAGCGATGATAAATCTGAGATTGGAAGAGGTTGCTACTGTAAAAGACAACATCAACAAGAAACCATGATGCGGCACAAGAGAAGAGATCACGGCCGTGGCGACGGAAGAATCGTTTGGAGAGAAGAGGATAGGATGGAGGATTTGATGGCAATGGGGAGTCTTCTGCAATTTGACTCATCGGGACATCTAACACTTTCTTCATGTCAATGGCTGCCTGTAGAACATTTTGTTCCACGAGAGCTGTAAATCTAGGAAAATCACGTAAACGACAAAGACAAAAAAAAGGGATAATCAATTTCAAATGTGTTATCTTTAGCTACATGTAAATCATGCAAGAACAGTACGTTATCAATTCTGACGCTTGCCTTTCCATGCTGTTTCTGTCTAAAATTTCAAAGTTTACCGACGCCTCTTTCCGACTGAAAAAGTATTTAATTTTCTTCCTTCCATGTCATAATGTAGACAGGTCTGGCAATATTTGGCATAGAATGAAAAAGTAGTCATCCGTTTCGGTAGAAAACTTTCTATATGTGCATAATTGGTCTGTTCATATTATCAAAGTTCTCTTCAGCCTAAACACTGCTCCCTTCCACCTAACCCTTCAACTAACTTGACTATTTAAAACATGAAAACGCAAAAAAGCTTGACTAAAATATTTTGGAAACAATACATTTTGATTTCATCTTATTTTAATAATTTTCTGTTCTGAGTCTTGCTCCACTAAATATCTTCCTACCTAGTAGTGGCATAATGGTTGAAATTTAGGCCTGGCAATAAAACTAAAAGAATCGAATTCTGATACTTCTAACCCAGCAGTAAATTATAGCAAGAAACCCGATTGGCCGATATAGTCATTGGTTAATCTTAAGATTTGGCATTTGCCCTGATGGATCGTAACCAGCAGGGATTCTAGTATTCTTCTTCTTTTTTAAGTGAAAAGTCACCAACCCACGAAAACCCAACTCATATAAAACAAACTTTAAATTTATAATGACGAGTAGTGGTGGTGTAAGAAATTGAAAACTGACTTAAAAATCAAAATCAGAATAGTAAAAAAGATTAGATGCAGTATAATTAGTAGTAAACCTGGCGGTCTCGGGCATCATCATACGCCAATAATACGTCACGGCTGCTGGAATTGCACCCACCATGAGTATGAGCCTCCACGCAATATCGGCCTCCTCCGGAGTGTGACCATTCGACACATCCGATGCAGCCTCAAATATCTTACAGACCACCATAGTCACTATGGAGCTCGCCAAAATCCCGAATCCCTGCATCGAGAACACAGCCGCTATAAAGGCACCGCGCGTCTTCTTATTAGCAAACTCCGACATGATGGTTGCTGACAAGGGGTAGTCCCCCCCGATGCCTACTCCAAGCAAGAACCTGAAAAACCCCAAACTCACCAGGACGCAGTTTCTGGTCCTGCATATGGAAAAGCCGCAAGCTATGGAGCTGAGAACCATGGTGGTCAGTGACAGCCCGTACATGCGGCGCCTTCCTATCAGATCGCCGAGCCTGCCAAACACCAATTGACCGATCACGGTCCCGAGAAGAGCTATAGCCACCAGGGCAGAGACGACAACAGTGGGGGTAGTCTTGTTCGTGTATTGTTTCCCCTCCGAGTGCACTCCCGATGTCTGATCGTAGTATATTCTTCCGATGAGCTTGATGATGGGAGGGATGCAGAAGAGGTCGTAGGCGTCGGTGAAGAGTCCCATGCCAGCGACGATGATTGCTTTGAAGTGGTACAGCTGGATTTTTGCTGCATCGAGGGCAGACAGGACTTTCAACGCCATTCCTGATTATTGAAAAAGCTATAGATCGATAGAAGAGAGGAATTTATGTTTGCTATATAATTGCCAGGACCATATACAACTCCGAAAAGAGTAATTGCTTGGTGGTTTCGTGCGGAAAGGAGTTGATGTGATCCATGGGTGGACTGCTGACTAGCGTTGATGAAAGCAGGTCATGCATATTCCAAAAGATGCGAATCAGTTAAACTCATGGGAATTTTCGCTTATTATTTGTTAGTTTTTGTTTGGTGGAGAGTTTAAACAGCAGGTCGGACATTGCATGATGCATGTTTGCTGTCGTAAGTACTTGTGCCTGCTTGCTCCAAGGTTTTTTTTTTTTCTCATGGTGACACGCTGCCTAATTAACTAAACTTAGAACAGTTATAATATAAATATTTATTTTTTTGTCAACATTAAATAGTTCAACAATTTAACATATTTGTAAGTATTGGTTATTTACAAGACTACTTTTCCCTATATTATATTTCACTAAAGTATTAAATCAAATAAATTATTATTCTTGTATACATCAATGATGGAATTAATTTAATTTAAATTTAGGCGTAATAATTAATTAAACATACCTATCAAATGTTTGATGTGACACGTAATAAAAACCGATATAGACATTTGAGGTAATGAAGAACTTTGAGTATTCTCCAGGTCGACCCGAAATTTAGACCGTGGCTTAGGGGTCGACCCTGGATTGGTATCACTGTCAATTTTAATGTTAGCCAAGTACAACTCTCAATATGATTGGGTGAGAGAGCACAACCAAGCTGAGTCTATCGAAGTTTGATTTCTACAGGTTCGGTTACATTAGTTGAGTTGTCTTTGCTTTCTTAGTGAAAACAGGGATTTGGGAATCCGAATTACGTATTGAATACGAGTCCAAGCAAGAAATAAGTCCAACCCATTTGTCTTGAAGCTAGAGCCTAAGAGGCACAAACGTAAGCCAATGGTTGTCAACCTTGCAAGTGGCCGAAGCTGAACCAAGAATGGCCTCACCATTCCAAGCAGAAAGGACAAATCAAGAAGTTAAATGCACGATTGCAAGGAATAGAACCCACGTGCAAGGAGCAGCCCATAGGACAGCTGAACCAATCAATTGCCCCCGCAACGAAATAGCAACCTAGAAGCAAATTTCCACAAAGTGCCGACTCCGCAAGAAACTTCAAACGTAGTTCCTCAGTCCAACAGAGGAGTATCATGGTTGATTGTACAAAACAACTGTTCGCAAATTTAGGCAACTGATTAATACTCTCGGGGAACTCCAGTGTGAAACTCCACCACTTCC